ATATAATCCCCCTTGTGGTGCTTCCCAAAGGATTCCGACTGTGAGGCTTTGCAATCGAATCCCTTCGTAATGTCTTCCAGGAATGATTCGGCTTTCCAATCGAATCCCTTCGTGGTGCGTTCCAGTGGATTCCTGATGTGATGCTTTCCAAGGAGAACCGTCACGAATGCAGAGACTTTCCCAAACAGAACCCCTTGAATTGTTATCCAGTGGACGCCTGTTGTAGTGCTATCCAACAGAACCCCTTCGGAGAGCTCCTGAAAGGGTTCACTATGAGGGAGACAGAGGAGTTCGTTCGAATCCTTTGGGGCGGGGTTCCCCCACGACCCATAGATTTGTGATTATGTGTTTATGTATATATGTAAATGTATGTGTGTGTGGATTCGCCAGGGGTTGCGCGAGCCGTCGCACGAAGAGCTCATGCATGCAAAGTCGGGCTCGCCACACCTTGCACTTACGAGGAGGCTTGTCGCGTTTCGTCGCGTGCCCTATTCGGGCCCAAGCGGGCCACAAAAGACCCCAAAGACGGTCCAAAAGGGCTCCAAGATGGCCCCGGAGGTGTCCAGGACGGCCCAAGAGAGCCCAAAGACAGCCCCAAGAAGGGCCCAAGAGGGGAAACACGAACCGAAAATCCGAGCCTTCCGCCCCAAATGCCCCCTGGAGGCCCCGAGAAAATCCCAAGAGCTGGGGGGCCCCAAGAAATCCCCAAGAGGCCCTCGAGACGCTCCAAGAAGCCCCGAAGCGGCTCTCAAGAGGCCTCAAAACGGCCCCCAAGAAGCCCCCGAGAGGCCTCCCGCGACATCCCAACGAACATCCTACAGGCCTGTGACCCACAACCCAGGCACGGTGACGGGATGTACCGGAGGCCACATACAGCCGAACATATAATCAAGAAACTCATCACTTGGGAAATATGAGCCAGCAGCCCGGACAAATTATTAAGACACACCTTGGCCAAGTGTTTCTGTTCATGCTAGGGGGAGAACTTGCTGAAGAAACTGGGCAACATTGCCGGCAAGTTGGTCAAGAAACGCTGGTCCAGCTGTTCGGGAGGAGGCTTCTGAATCAGATGCCCGACTGGACATAACTATAGATGTGCGTACCACAGGATCCAGCGAGACCGAGGATCCAGAGGGACCGAGGATCCAGCGTACCACAAGACCGTGGGGGGTCCCCGCCCCCCCCCCCCCCCCCCGGTCCGTATGCTGGTGTTGCGGCTCCTCCCATCACCATCTTCATCCAGCCCATCGTCAACCGCGTTTGGTTTTGCTGCAGGCCTTATCATGATCTCCTCCCTGTCCATTGCGAGGTCGCACGCTGCTGCTGCGGCAACCTCCCTGTCCTCAACCTCCTCTTGCTCCTCGTGATCAGTCTCCTGTGACAGCGGCCACTCCTCACCCAACATCCACATACATCGATATTGTTCATACTGCTGTTTCCCCGCAGGACCTTAAAGAGGACCAGCATCAGGATCAGGAGGACGGTGAGGAGTGTACCAATTGACAAAGTTGAAGCAATGGGTATCGAGGACTAGCAGGATAATGGTGATGAGGACCAGCAGCATCAGGCGGATTGCGAGGAAAAGGAGGATGAGGCGGGTGGGGTGGAGCATACGCATTAGTGCGAAGAACATGGCGATCGGCAGCAGCACGAGGAGGACCCTCGTCAGAAGCGGCAACAGGACGGCCAGCGGGAGCAGAAAGAAGACCAGCATCATGAGGGGACAGGGAGAGGATCGGAGGGCCACTTGAGAGAACGGCGGCTGTTCCGCCCGACCCAAACCGTGCACGGAGGTTGACAACCAAAGAGTCGAACCGACCATGTGGTCCGTAGGTCGAGGGCGATTGGGAAGAGAGAGAAGGGAACCCTTTTTTCCCCATGCGCCGCGGGAGGAGCGGCGCGAGTGCTGCCCGAGAGGACTGTCCAGTACCTGAGCCGAGACGGTAGCAGGATAGATGGATAGAAAGGTGATGTGAGCGGACTATCCTGCTATCTGAGGGGAGGAAGAGGGAGGAGGAGGAGGAGGAGGAGGAGGAGGAGGAGGAGGAGGAGGAGGAGGAGGAGGAGGAAGGAGGAGGAGGAGGAGGAGGAGGAAGAGGGAGGAGGAGGAGGAGGAGGAGGGGAGGAGGAGGAGGAGGAGGGGGAGAGGAGGAGGAGGAGGAGGAGGAGGGGGAGGAGGTGGAGGAGGAGGAGGAGAAGCCACACCCTCTCGGAGCCAGTCTGGCCCCGAGCGGCCGCAACCCGCGGTGGCGGGCCGAGGGCCGCGGGGCCCAGAGGGCCCCCCCGCGGCGCGGCGGCCGCGGGCCGCGGGGCGGCCAGGAGGAGGCATGCTGCCGAGTCCGAGGAGAAGGCCTCCTCGTGTCATGTTGCACCCCCCCCTCCTCTCCCGCTCTCCCGCTCCCCCCCCTCCCTTGAAGAAGAGATCGAATAGGGGATCGACTACAGAGAAGGTGTTATGTTGCACCACCTCCCCCCTCTCCCGCTCCCCCTCCTGCCTTTTCCCTTGAAGAAGAGATCGAACAAGGGATCGGCTACAGAGCCAATGTGCCCCCCGAATTGACCTGTCCGTCGCATCCGCAAACGGGTACGTGGACTCTTTTCAGATCCGAGGAGATGAAGGGCAACCTTCCTCGCAGATTCGACGAACCGTACAATTCTGGGGCAAATCCATTCTGTGGTCGACCCCCGACCCGAAGGGAGGAGAGGAGAGGATGCGGAGAGATGCGCGGACCCCTCCCGGGCCCAGTCGTGGCAACCAGAAGCCCCCGAGAAACCCGAGCAAGAAGGCCGAAGCACACGCCAGGGAGGGCCGCCGTGTGGTCTCGGCAGAGGCCCTCCCCCCCCCGCGGAGGAGGAGGACGGCCCAGCGAGGGCACCAATTTCCTTTGGGCCAGGAGCCGCGGGAGAATGGCCAGGTTAGGCTTAGGTCGGGCATGTCCCCCTACAGGCGGATGTTGGACAAAACAGAAAAAATAGCCAACAACTGATTTACAAAGTAATCCAACATGGTGTTGACAAAAATGGTCCCCAGACTGCTTTTGAATACTCCTCCAATAGAGGGACACGCCCGGCTTAAGGTTAGGCGCCAATGAACGGGTGGGGGCGATAAATTGGGGGGGGGGGGGGGGGCAAAGGTGCCCTGTCCGGGGCCCTAGAGGCCCGCCCCCTTCTGGGCCCCATCACGGGCCCCTCTGCGGCAGCCCTCGCTGCACCCTCTTGCATCTCGCCCCCCCCCCGCTGCGCGTTCCCCGACCAGGGCCGCCACGACTGCGCACAGAGGCGCAGCCGCCAGCCTGGCGCACAGAGGCGCAGCCGCCAGCCCCCCCCCCCCCCCCCCCCCCCAACCCTGCCTCCGCCACCCCCTTGCCATCCTTCGGACGTCCATTCCCTCTGCGGTGTTGGGCTTCGTGCGTGCTATTTTTGCCGGATGATCTAGGATGCTCCTCGATGGACCACGCCGAGAAAAAAAAAAACATGTTTTTTTCTATCCGCGGGTCGAGAGCGCACCTCTTCCGGTCGAAGCTCAGCGGGCCGCGCGAAGCTTGAATTAGGCAGAGAAGAGGAGGGAGGAAGCGGCGGAGCCTCAGAGCGAGGGAGGAGGGAAGAGGAGGAGGAAGAGGAGGGACAGAGGGAGGAGGAGGGAAGAGGAGGCAGAGAAGAGGAGGGAAGAGGAGGGAGGAGGGAAGAGGAGGAGGGAAGAGGAGGGAGGAGGGAAGAGGAGGAGGGAAGAGGAGGGAGGAGGGACGAGGAGGAGGAGGGAAGAGGAGGGAGGAAGCGGCGGCCGAGAGGAGGGCCGAGGAAAAAACACGCACACGCCCGAGCGGTGCCAAGGCCCCCGGGGCCACCTCTCGAGCGCTCCGGCCGCCGTTGGTGGCTCCCGCCGCGGGCCCGCGCCGTGCCGACCCCTCTCGGCGCTGGTTCTGCGTCGGGCGCGCCCCTCTCTGCAGGAGGGAGACAGGGCAGTTTTTGTTTGTTTTAACACATGGGATGTTTAAACATATTGGATCTTTAAAGCATGAACAATGTATGAATAAATGTATGCATGAACTCATCGCTGTTTTTTAATACTAAACCCCTGCATGTTGAATACAGGACCCGCACGCGGAGCATGCATTAAAAACGGCACCGTAGTCACAAGTCGTGTAACAAACTAACACAAGGGACGATGTTTCGACTATTCGTTGGCAATGTTTGATTACTTTTTGGGGGTATTTTTTCTATGCTTCACCCAAAATCCGCCTGCAGGGGGACGTGCCCGACCGAACGCTGGTTCTGGACACTCCGGGGGTCGCTCAACCTTGCGAGAACGGCCGTCTCCGAAAGGTCAGCTCGTTCAACGATGGGCCGATTCTGGGCCACGGGCGGCGTTCGACCTCAAACGCCCGCGCCCAGGTCGCCGCCAGTCGACACGAGGCGACCCTGCCGTACCCTTCTTCTCTGCAGGAGACCTGCTTGCTTGTTCTTCCCTCCCCGTGGCAACGAAGGCGCCAACTCGACAGAGCAGAACCGCCAACAATTCGAGGAGGAGGAGGAGGAGGACGGCGGGAGGAGGACGGCGGGAGGGGGATCATGATGAAGGCGGGGGGCACGGGAAGGAGGAGGAGAGAGGAGGGAGGACGAGGAGGTGAAGGTAAGAAGGAAACGGAGGAGGGAGGAGGAGAAGGAGAAGAGTAAAAAGGGAGGAAATAGGAGCAGGAAGGATGAGGGCTGAAGGATGACTGCGAGGGAGCAAGAAGCAGGAAAGGGGGAGGGGATGAGCAGGCAGAGGAGAGCTGGAGGAGACCCCCCCTCCACCAGACCCCCGACGTCATGAATGTTTCATAACGTCGACCCTCAGAGGTCTCGACCCCTTTCCCAGGACAGGTTTTTCATCCCGAGTCGTTCTTTGACGGTCCCGAAGCCCGGCGAGGGCCCCTGGAAGCCGAAAATGGCGAAAAACCTCCCGCCGTGATTTCTTCACCCGCGAAAGCATCCCCCCCCCCAGACCCCCTCCTCCCAGCGGCGACAGCCGCCACGCGCCCGCGCCGGAGGCATCCCGCGCCAGGACGTCGCAGCGCCCCAGACCGCAGAGCACCGCGGCGGTCTGCGCGGCCGGCGGGGGCGGGGAGGATCGGCGGGAGGGCCCTTTGCGCTCGGGAGGGTGGGGGAGGAGGGGAGGGCGGGGGAGCGAGGGAGGAGTTCGGGAGAGAGGGAGGGAGGGAGTGAGGGAGGGAGGGAGGAGGGGAAGGGCGGAGGAGCGAGGGAGGGAGGAAGGAGGATGGAGGATGAGGAGGAGGAAGGAGGGGGAGGAGGAGAAGGAGGAAGGAGGAGGAGGAGGAGGAGGAGGAGGAGGGAACGTAGCCTGAAAGAGGAGGAGAAGTAGGAGGAGGAAGGGCAGAGGGAGACGTTTGGCCGAAGCGGCTGCTTTCGCCCACAGGGGGCAGGCGGACCGAATTGGCCTTTCCATGTGCGTTGCCGGAGTCCGGCCGCATCAGCAGCCTTTTCAGGCGCGCCAGTGCGAGCGTGCCTCCTCCTCCTCCTCCTCCTCCTCCTCCTCCTCCTCCTCCTCATCCGCCTATTCCTCCTTCCTCATCCCTCCTCCTCCTCCCTTCCAAGAACCGGCGTGGCACCGCCGGACTCGCACGGTGCGAGTGACTGACAGAAAGATCAGGAAGCTGCCAGAGCAAGAGGTGGGCGCACAGCTCGGCGTGAGCATTGACGAGCTGCGCCACCTGATCCTGCAGGTGCCCACGGACAAGTCGAAGGCTTTCGCCCACAATATCATCGAGAAGAGGTTGCGGCCTTGGGCAAAGAAGAAGGCCAATGAGTATGTGGGAGCTGAGGGGCAAGATCTGCTGGAGCAAATCCTGCAGATGGTCCATTCCAGGGCGACCCCGTACAGCATCCTGTCGGAGGTCGAGGGGTTCCTGGGTGCAGAAGCGGAGAACTTCATCCTGACGATGTGGCGCATGCCAGTTCATCTTGGAGGGCCTCCGCGTGAAGGATGACACCGAGGACGACAGCATGGTCGAATGCTACCACCCCGGCAAGGGCAAGGGCTGATCCGGCGAAGCGGCCCAGGTGAGGCAGACGGCGGCCACCCTGTAGCCCGCAACGGCGCTCCTGGAGGGCGGGCGCGGCCTGGAAAATTTGCACGCGGGCGAGCAGGAAGAACGAGACCGTGCTGGCGGACTGCGAGACGATCATCGGGAACGACCCCCGTGAGCGTACTCGAGGGCCTGCAGCTCGCCTCTCTCCGGCAGGAGAGCACCTTCATCGAGGACTCCAGTGAGAAGGACGACACCATGGATGAGCGAGCGCAAGAGGTGAAACCGATGGTGGCCACCGTGGACTGCGCGAAGATGGGCGACGAGTTCGGCCCGGCGGAGCTCGGAGAAGAGCCAGAGGACGAGGAGCACGACAAGTGGAAGGACCTCAGGGAGGAAGGAGTGAGGGAGGAACAGGGAGGAGATGAAGCAGGATTGCTTTGGCAAGGCCAGTTTCGTCGAGAAGGCGGGCGTGATCTGCGCGAAGGTCGACATCCTCCTAGGCAAAGCGATCTCGCAGGACGGGGGCGTAGTCGGCAGCCACTGGCGCACGCCCAGCTGGAAGTGTGCCCGGAGGCGGAGGAACTAGAGGAGTGGAGGCTGGCGGTGGAGGACGAGGTGGAAGGAGAAGCCGTTCAGCCTGCCCCCCGTGCCGGCTTCCTTAACGACTCGAGCTGGCTGAATGTCACGATCGCCGGTGGCGTGCAGTAGGAGTCGCGATGGGAAAAAGCATGTTGCTATAATTCGAGGTTGCAGGCGAGACAGTCTCGCCATTGTCGGCGTTTCTCGGAAGCCTTCTGCCATGCCAGCGTGGACCCCAAACAGCGCGTTCTGCATGCTGGTCCGTGCTAGGAGTATGTGGTATGTGGGGCCGCTTTATGCAAGCTCTGTTCGAGGAACTTTCAAATCGCGACCCGATCGAGGGTACAGCGTCCGCTCGTGCTCGCCGTCGCCCAGGGCCAACAGCGGCACTGGGGCGAGGCCGCGCTGAGGCCCCTTGGTCGAGCGTCGCCACCGCTCGTACTCGTCGTCGCCGGGGGCCGACAGGGGCACTTGGGCGAGGCCTTGCAGAGCGATCCAACACAGTGCATTTGAGATTCAGGTGGAAGTGTGAATTCAAAGGGGGAGGAGGAGGGGGAGGGGGAAGAGGAGGGGGAGGGGGAGGAGGAGGAGGAGGAGGAGGAGGAGGAGGAGGAGGAGGAGGAGGAGGAGGAGGAGGAGGGAGGAGTGGAAACGTGGGGAAACCGTCGAGCCCCTCCCTGATCGCGTACTCTCAGCACGGCCGACAGCCTGCACCAAGTACGGAAGGGGCGAGGAGGAGGAGGAGGAGGAGGAGGAAAAGGAGGAGTAGGAGCCAGGCAGCCTCAAGAGGGGAACGACTTGCAGCAGGTGCCGTTCCGCTTGCGGGGTGCTGCAGCGGCCTGCTGTTTCTCGATCGATCCCGGTCTACCGTGGTCGTGTCCACCGTGGCGCCAGGCGGGTCGGTTTCCGGGTTTTGGGGAGGCGGGATCACGAGTGCCTGCGACGGTGCGCTGCTCGTGGCGCCAGGCGGGTCAGCCTCCCCGGAGGGGGAGCGGGATCACGAGTGCCTGCGACGTGCAGCAGAGCTCCGCGCCACAAGATGCTTCTTTGTGCGCGGAGACTTGAAGAGGCCTAAGACGTCTTCTCGGGTGCTCGCCTTCTGGCCTTGCGCCCATAGCCTTCACGCCCTGGACGGTGTGCGGCTCGAACATAGGATGGAGGTCTTAGGGGCGGCCCCCCCCCTCCCTCTCTGCTTCCTCCTTTCCTCCTCTCCTGGTCCCGCCTGCTCTGTGATGTGTTGTCCTCCTTCCTGCTCCCCGCTCCCCGTTGCTGTTCCTCCCCGCCGTCCTCAAGGCCCGTCGCCTGGGCTTGAGTTCTGCCCTCCCTTGGCCGCGCTCGGGCTCGCGGCGGCCGACGCCTACAGGATGGCGGTCGGCGGCCCCCGAGCAATCGATTGCCCCGTCTGCTGATCCCAGAACCGGGGCCAGATGCAGCGTCTCAGACCTCCCTCTGGGTGGACAGGACTCGAAAGTAGGCAGCAGTTGGGCTCCCCCCTCCTCGTGGTGCTGGCGATCGCTTGCTGCCGCTCTCTCTACCGCTGCTTCATCACCCTTCGCTGTTGTGCATCGCGGTCGCCGTAAAAAAGGCAGAGGGGGAAGGAGGAGGCGGAAGGGGGAAGGAGGAGAAGGAGGAGAAAGGGCGGAGGAGAGGGGGGAAGGAGAATGAGAGAGGGAGGAAGGGAAGCAGCGGTGCAGCCGAGAGGGAGGGAGGGAAGGAGGATGAGGAGGAGGAGGAGGAGGAGGAAGGGTGGCGGAGGAAGGGCGGAGGAGGAAGGAGGAAGCGGAAGGGAAGGAGGCCCGCAGGCCCAGAGGGAGGGGGGGGAAGGAAAGGTGGAGGAAACCTCTACCGTTTTTCCTCCTCCTGTCACTCCACGCCACGATTGCCGACGCTGCCGATGTCGGTGTACATGAACAAGTGAAACTTGAGTTCTAGCTTTGCAGAGTCGCGCGCTGCACTGCGCACGCGCGAGAATACACCAGGCCTACTGTCTCAAGGCGAAGACGTAGTGCCCCAAGCAGGTCGCCATCATTGGAAACTGACCATACATATCCAAGTCGAGACGAGGATGAAGTGACTGAGAGGAAGAGGGGGGATGATCGGGGGCCGACGAGGAGTGAACGCAGACGAGGCCAGAGAGGAGTAAGGGTGTAGTTCAGGGAGGGCGGGATGGGAGAGTGTAGATGAAGAAAAAAAGGCGGACAAGCAATACAACGAAGGGGACATGGAGATGGCGGTGATGACAGTGGTGAAAATCCCACTCGCCCTCTAGGGCGTCAGCGTTTTAGCGGGGGTCCTCTTCCACCCCCTCTTCTTCCCCTTCAGGGGAGGAGGGGGCCGAGACGACGACGAGGGCGACGAAGGCGAAACCCACGGGGGCGACTGCGGGGGGAGATGGGACAAGAGCCCCACGTTCCTCCTCCTCCTCCTCCTCCTCCTCCTCCTCCTCCTCTTCCTCCTCTTCCTCCTCCTCCTCCTCCTCATCCTCCTCCTCCTCATCCTCCTCCTCCTCCGTCTTCCGCCCCTCCCCCATACCCTCTACCCCTGCACCTGGACGGGGGGTTCGAGGGTTAGTAGTTCGAGCGTCCAAGACGTCTTCGGCGAGAAGGCATGAATCACTGGTGGTGCTAAGGCGTTGGCCACGTGTTGGCCTCCTGGGGGGGGGCCCAGTTAAGGAGCTCCTCTCCTTTGATCGATCTCCCCCAAGATGGCCCCCGAGGCCCCCAAGGGTGCCCCCAGACGGCCCCTAGAGGTGCCCAGGAGGCCCCGGCATGTCTCCAAGAGGCCCCGACGATGCCCCCAGGAGTCTTGCAAAAGACCCCCAAGAGGCCCCAAAAGGCACGCGAGAGGCACCCAAGACGCCCCAAGATGCCCCCCCGGACTGCAAAGAGACCTCCCAGACGCCCCTAAGAGGACTCCAAGAAGCTCCCGAAAGACATCCGAAGAGACTCCGAGAGGCATCCAAAAGGCCTCTGGCCTTTCTGCTCGCCCTCCTCCTCCTCCTCCTCTCCTTCCTCCTCCTCCTCTCCTTCCTCCTCCTCCTTCCTCCTCCTCCTCCTCCTTCCTCCTCCTCCTCCTCCTCCCCCTCCTTTTCCTCATCCGCCTATTCCTCATTCCTCCTCCCTCCTCCCTCTTCCCCCTCTCCCTCCTCATCCTCCTCCTGCTCCTCCTCCTCCTCCTCCTGCTCCTGCTCCTGCTCCTCATCCGATCCCTCAGTATTCCTCAGTCTCATCATCCCCCTCTTGGGGTATGACGTCTCACCCAGCTCTTTATTCCACTGCATGCTCCTCCACCCCCCCTGTTCAGGGCAACCTGTCTGGGCATCGCTTCTGGATAGGATGGTGGGGTTACGCGGAACGACTGAAGTTAGAAAGGACAGAAGGGAAGAGCGAGCAGGAGAAGCAACCGGAACAAAATGAGCGGAACGGCCGGAGCCAAATGTGGAGCAAGAGCATTCCCTGAAACTTGCAAATACTAGCGGTGCATGTACTCGGTTTGGAAAACTTGAGCGAAGAGCGAAGCAGCGCGCGCCTTTGTCAACTGATAGCCCTTGCATAGCTTTTCGAGTCTCTGTCCATGTGTTTGCGCACACCCCTCGGAGTCAATCTCGAATCTCCAGCAGTCAAGTTTCACAACGAAAACGATAGCTGTGACATACCTAGACGATCACCCTTCGGGTGATAAGGAGGTTGGGGGGAAAGCACCAACTGACAATTGCGATGATTGTGGTGATGGCGATGCTGGCGGTGCGCTGTCGAGACGGCGACGACGCACGACGACGATGCTGACGACAATGCATGATGGCAGTGGACCAACAAACTGGCGATGCTGGCGAACAAACATGATGGCGATGACGACGGTGGCAATCATTTGGCACATCCCTCTTTGACGGGACACCGACGGGACACCCGGCGGGACACCCCCGGCCACCGCCCGCGGACACTGACGGGACACCGACGGGACACCACGGCGGGACACCACGGCGGGTCACCCCGGGCCACGCAAGCCCAGGGGGGGTCTTTTGTCTTGACCCGCCCTTGCCACAGCGGAGTCATTCCTCTCGCCCGCCCACGCAGCTTCGCCCGCACGCACAGCACGAACCCGAAAACGAAACAGATGTCCCAGTGGGGGGGCTCTCCGTTCCACTCGTATCTCACCCCTCAACCATTGATCGCGAGCGAACTTGCCACATCGCGAGCTTGGCCGCGCTCGAGCTCTACTTGGAGCTTGAGGGCGCTGGTCGCAAGCTGCCGAAATGCCAATAACCCTCGACTCATACAACGAAACAACGGGAGCACATGCCAGGGGTCCCCCAACGATCCGGTGACCACAGTGAGTCGAATGTGATTCAGGGTCAGCGGATAATTTTGGGACTAGGGTCGTAGTCCGAGGATGTCTCGAGCGTATTGGGGTCCCAGAGGCCCCTGAACCGTCTGGTGACAGACCGTCCAGCGACGTATTCGGGGCCTCGGGATCGTCTGACCAAGTGTCCCTGAGCAGATCACTCGAAGCTGCACTCGGAGCTGCGGGCATCTGCCGGGAAAGCCACAGGGTACCCATACCGCTACCCAGACCTCTCCTGGAGTGCGCTCTGACCAAACGTCCGAGGCGAATCTCCGGCGGTGGCGACGAGGGGCCTCCCAGGCGACCCTAAAAAAGCAAGCACGAGGCAAGGGCAGCGGTATCGGTACCCTGTCCTCCCCCGAGATCATTCGGCACCACTTCCTCGGACCCCGTCCGAGGAGGCCCGGTTTTCCCTGTCGAGCGCCCCGCGAAGCGAAGGTTGGAGGCCGACACGCCCCAGAGCAGGAGCGAGGTTCCCGCCGCCCTATGGGCAGCGGTAGCGGTACCCTCTCCCCCACCAATCCGCGCGCGCTGCGCACGCGCGATCGAGAGCGCAGGACGGCGGCAGCAGCGCAGGCTGCCCGCGCGAGCCGGCGCGGCTCCTCGCCGCGGTGCACCTCCGCGAGGGGGCCCAGGCCGCGGTCCTCGCCGCGGCGGGGGCCGAAGCAGGCCTGGCACGCTCGTCCTCCCCTCGCCGCCCCCCTTCCCTTCCCCTGCCCTGCCCGAGCCCTCCCACCTCCACCTCCACCTCCACCTCCACTCCCCGCCCCCGCCCTCCTCTCTGCACTGCCTCCACCTCCACCTCCACCTCCACCTCCACCTCCCCCGCCCTAATCCCTGCACTGCCTCTCCGCCGGCCCTGCCCTGCCCTGCTGCCCCTCCACCTCCACTCGCTCTCACCGCCTCCGCCCCCATCTACCCTCCAACCCCCCTTACTCCTGCCACTCCTCCTCAGTCCCCCCTGACGTTGGCCAGGCCGAGATTGCCGCTGCGGGCGCCCCACGGACGACCCACCTGGAGCCCGGTCAGGAGAGACCCGCGGGCGCATGTTTCAGCTGGGAGCGGGTCGAGACCATGAGCTGGGAAGGTGGTCGCGACGCAACGAACAGCAGGAGGCACATGATCCTGACACGGTGAGGTGCAGCGCCTCAAAGGGGCGCCCTGGCTGGCGGGACCAGCGCGACCAGCATCAAGGACTGCGCCAGCAAGGCAGGCTCAGGAGCCAGACGACTCACCGCTTCGGTCGCCGTGAACCCCGCCCCAGCCCGGGACCGCCCAGAGGAGCGCTCACCCAAGCGCACCTCATACCCCTCATCGTCCCCACCCCTCCCTCCTTTCTCCTTCCGTCCCACCCCCCATAATCCATCATCCACACCCTCCCGCCTCTCTTCGCCCTCTTCCCGCCTCCATTCCTCCCACTCCACCCCGCCCCGCCCATCCCCTCCGCCTCATCCCCCTTCCCCACGTTTCCACTCCTCCCCTCCTCCTCCTCCTCCTCCTCCTCCTCCTCCTCCTCCTCCTCCTCCTCCTCCTCCTCCTGAGTGCGGGCTCCTTCCCAATCCCTACCCCTTGGCCGCGCCCGAGCCCGTACTGAGCGCAGCAGGGATGCGCAGAGCCCCTTCGGCGTCTCGGGCGGGGCAGGAGAAGAAGGGGGGGGCATTGATGGCCCCTCCATCCTGTGCTGTCTTTCGTTCGTTCTCGGACGGTTTCCTGTGAAGCGAATAGTTGAATGTCCAAGGTTGCTGGTTTCAGATCATACGTCTACCTTCAATTAGCCCACTATGTGGGCATCATGGATTGGGACTGAAGTACTGCACCCACACACGCTCACACACGTCCTGTGTTGTACGCGGTCGATGCTGAACAACCCCGCTCGCATCGTCCTGCTCCTCCACCTCCTCCTCCTTTTCCTCCTCCTCAAAATGACCATCACCATCACCATCACCATCAACACACGCATTATCATATCCTCGTCCTCCTCCTCCTCCTCCTCCTCATCCTCCTCTTGTTCCTCCTCCTCCTCCTCCTCCTCCTCCTCATCATCATCATCATCATCATCATCATCATCGTCGTCGTCGTCGTCCTCCTCCTCCTCCTCCTCCTCATCCTCCTCTTGTTCCTCCTCCTCCTCCTCCTCCTCCTCCTCATCATCATCATCATCATCATCATCATCATCGTCGTCGTCGTCGTCATCATCATCATCATCATCATCACCATCATCATCATCATCATCATCATCATTATCATCATCATCATCATAATCATCATCATCATCATCATCATCATCATCATCATCATCATCATAATCAGCATCATCATCAGCATCATCATCATCATCATCAGCATCATCAGCATCATCATCATCATCATCATCATTATCATCATCATCACCAGCATCATCATCGTCATCATCATCACCATCAGCAGCACCATCAGCATCATCAGCCTCCTCATAAACATTATCAGCAGCATCATCAACAAAAACATCAATGTCAACATCAACCTCAGCATCATCAACACCGATATCAACAATGGCATCAACAACAACATCATCAAAGCATCAGTATCATCATCAACCTCATCAGCAACAGCATCAACAGCAACATCCACATCAACGTCAGCATCACCCCTCACCCTTCTCGCCCTTCCCCCTCCAACGAAACCTCTCCACCCGAACACCCCTGCCACCCCCCCTCCCCCACAGCTGTCGGCCACGCTCGGTCTGCTGCCGCCATCCTGCGGCAGCAATGCCGCCTCGTACACGCGGAAGGGGCTGCGCACCTGTGGCGCGGACGCCGAAGCCCATTGGCGTCCTCAAGGTCCTTCTCTCCCCCTCTCCTCCATCGTCCCTCCTCCCTCCTCCTTCCTCCTTTTTCCCTCCTCCCCAAGCCATCCTTCCTTCTCCCTCCTCCATCCTCCCTCCTCCTCCTCTTCCTGTATCCCGGGACGCGGGGCGCTGTCTTTTCAAAACGAGGACCCAACAACACAGGATGATTGGGAAAAAACACTCCCCCGACTGTGCTACTGGAAAAAAAAGCCCAACGCAAAGTCGTCTTAGAGCTATAGGGCTATGGGGCTATTAGGCTATAGGGCGATGGGGCGATGGGGCTATTGTACTGTAGAACTATAGGGCCAGAGGGCTGTAGGTCTCTAGGGCTATAGGGCTATAGGGCTATAGGGCCATAGGGCCATAGGGCTGTAGAGCTATAGGGTTATGGGGCTATGGGGTTCTGAGGGTATGGGGCTATAGGGCTATGGGGCCATAGGGCTATGAGTCTATAGCACTACGGGGCTGTAGGGCTATAGGCCCATAGGGCTATAGGACCATAGGGTTACAGGGCTATAGGGCTATGGGGCTAAGGGCTACTGGGCTATACGCATCTAGAGCTATAGGGCTACAGGGCTATAGGGCTATAGTGCTATAGGGCTATAAGGCTATGAGGCTATAGGTCTACAAGGCTACAGGGCTATGGGGCTATAGGGCGATCGGGCTATAAAGCTATAGGGCTCTAGGGCAATAAGGCTATAGGGCTATAAGGCTATAGGACTGTAGGGCTATAGTGCTATTGGGCTATAGGGTTATTTGGGCTATAAGGCTATAAAGATATCAGGCCATAGGGCTATAGGTAACGGAAAGAGCGAGGTACGAGTGATGACGTTCTGGTGTGGGCGAAGCCCTAAAGGGAGGGGTTCCAGGGGAGGGGGGTAGCGTGCGCATTTGAGTGTTAATGGCCGGTTTCGGGTTTTCCCTCAGGTTTTTGCATGTTTTTCGGGTTCCCCCCCAAGACGGCCCAAGAGCGCTCCAAGAGAGCCCAAGACCGCCCAAGACGGCCCCAGAGGCCCCCAAGAGGCCCTCAAGAGGCCCCCACGGGGCGTCCCAAGAGGGCCCAAGAGGCCGAAATCATCGATTTCCCAAAGGGGAACGCATATGTTTAGCATCTACGGCTTTTCGCCTTTCACGGCGTTGACGACGGCCCAAGAGGCCCCCAAGACCGCCCCAAGGCCGCCCAAGAGGCTCCCAAGAGGCCCCCAAAACGGCCCAAGAGGGCCCCCAGACGGCCCAAGAGGCGCCCAAGACGGCCCAAAAGAGCCCCAAGACGGCCCCAAGAGGGGGACCACGAACCGACAAGTCTAGCTTATCGCCCCAAGACGCTCTCGGGAGGCCCCCACAGCCCCCAAAGAAGCCCCAAGAGGCCCCCAAGAGGCGTCCGACGAGGCCATCAGGAGGCCAAAATCATTGATTTCATATCGGAAAACGTACATGTTTGGCATACACGGCTTTTCGGCTTCCACGGCGTTGACGACGGTCCAAGAGGCCCCCAAGACCGCCCCAAGACGGCCCCAGAGGCTCCAAAGAGGCTCCCCAAACGGCCCAAGAGGGCGCCAAGACGGCCCAAGAGGCGCCCAAGACGTCCCAAAAGATCCCCAAGACGGCCCCCGAGGGGGGACCATCGAACCTAAAAGTCAACCGATCGCCCCAAGACGCTCCCAGGAGGCCCCCACAAGACCCCCAAGAAGCCCCAAGAGGCCCCCAAGAGGCCCCCAAAGGGGCTCAAAAAGGGCCGCAATAGGACTCCCAAGAAGGCTCAGAGAAGCCAAATAAAGAGCAATCGGTAACGCAAAATGCTCTTCACACCAAGGCTCCCAAGAACGAACGGTGAAGTAAACAAGCTCATGAGACCAAGGCTCCCAGCAGGGAGCGATGACGCAACAAGTTCCTGACACCAAGGCCCAGCCAAGGCTCAGGAACGGGCGGCAACGCAACAATCTCTGAACACCAAGGCTCCCAAGAGCGCGGGGTGACGTAACAAGCTCTCAACGCCAAGGCTCCCAGTACGAACGGTGGTGTGAATAATTTCGGTCAAATTGTTGAAGCCCTCTTTCCGTTTCCGTGCCGGCCCAGGTCTACGGGGCTATAGGGCTACATGGCTATAAGGCTACACCCGGAAACCGGGCATCTGGGCACCTGGGCACCCGAGCACCCGGGCACCTGGGCACCCGGGCGGGCCGCGGAAATCGGTGACACACCTCACCTAACCATGTGAATCCGCTGGGACCCCTACAGAGGCACGCTCCGATCGGGGATGTGTTCTACTATTTGAACAGTTCCCCCCTGTGGAGGGACGCGCTCGACCTGAAGCTGGGCTCTGCCTGAAGGGCCCTCGCTCGTCTGGGGGAGCAGCTGGTGGGCGCGGGGGCCCTTCGCCAGAGGCAGCGTCCTGGGGCCCCCTCGGGTGGCTCGGGGTTGCAGGGCCCTCCCCGTCGGGAGGCCACCCCCGGCGCTCGCCGGGAGCTGCTCGAGGATGACCGGGGCGAGCAGTGCCGCGGGCCTTTTTGAGCAAACCTTGCACTGGGTCGGGCAAGTCCCCCAACGGGGAGATTCTGGACGAAAAACGAAAAAGAGCCAAAACACACCTCGAAATTATATATATATATATATATATATAAAAAAATCGTCCCCAGACGATCTTTTGACTGTTGTCGAATATTCCCCCTGTAGAGGGACAGGCCTGACTTACACCTAGCAGCCCCTGGGAGCTGCTCGAGGTTGCTCGGGGTGGGCAACGCCACGAGCCTTTTTGAGCAAACCTAGCAAGTGTCGGCTGGAGAAGCAAAAACGCCTGCGGCAGTGTTCTTCAGATGTGCTCTTGAGTTTGGAAAGCCGCCGACGAGACCAGGTGCCCAATCGTATGCACAACAGCGGGGGCTACGGTAATTCTTTCTCCGTTCGCCAATCCTTTCGAGGAACACCCCGCAAACCCAGGGCACGAACCAACACATAACGTGAGAATAATTCCCCATTGCGTGACGAGCCAGAGCTCACTCAAACAAAAACCGATAAGCCAAAACGTCTACTCGAGACTGCGTTGGGCCACGTAGGATCCCACGTAGCTCCCACCCACTCCGGCGGCAGCCAAAAAGTTGTCAGAAGAGCACAGTGGCAAGCAAGACCATTACATTGCCAACTCGGTGGGCAGATTCGTAGAGTTGTACTAGCTCGCTACCGGCAAGGAGGGAGGGAAGGAGAGAAGGGGATGGAGGGAGAGAAGGGCCGCACAGGGGGAATTGGGCATTTTGTTCCCCTGGATCTGCCAATTGCCTGGAAACGTCTGCTGCCATGCTCTGCTCCAACTCAGTCTGTCCTCTGCCCGCTTGCCCACCCACACACCTGCCTGGTCCATCTGTCCCTGCCCTCTCGATCGAGGAGGGAACCGAGCCCAAAGCCCCCCGAAGGAGGGTGTCGACTTTACACCTGCACCGACCCAAGCCAGGCCTATTCTCGACCAAGGATCGGTGTATACGACCTCCTGCTTGCAAGGGCGTCTGCAACGATCCTGGGCCCAGCACTGGCCTGACCAGGATTGGTGCAGATTTGCAGCTGCTGCTCTCCGACTGCGGTCCCCGCTCCCCCCGCGGGGGCACCACAGCGTGGGAGTTGTTGCAGTGCAGGCCCGCCACCTGCGGCCACGAAACGGGAGGCTTACATGCTCAGGTTCGGCACGGGTGCGAGGGTGGCGCAGCAAAGCAGGCGGCTCAGCGCATGGTCGACATTGGGGCCTCGATGGCCGTGCGCCTTGGGTCTACGGGGCCGCGGACGGGGTACGATGTATGACTCAGCTTAGCAGGTGAGACAGGGGCGGGGGGAGGCCAGACGACGACGAGACCCGCACGGCAGCATCGCATCAGCGCCCCGACGTGGAGCTGGAAAGTGCATCGTTGCACCGGGTACGCAGGGGAACGTTCATCGCCTCTTCAGGGTGGGGGGGGGTTCTTCAGGCTTGCACAGGACGCCGCCACAGCAAGACTCCCGGCGAGCAGATTGGGTGCAGGGGGGCGACGAAGCAGGGATGGAAGAAGGAAGGAGGGGAGAGTGCACGAGGTTGGGGAATGAGAGGAGGGATGGAAAGGGGGAGGGACGGGAGAGGAGGAGGCAGAGGCTAAGCGTTGGCATGGCACTGCAGAGCTGCGCAGGCAGGCCGGCGGAGCTCCGGGGCAGCTGCAGAGGTCCGTCACCGAGGCGTGCCTCACGCTGACCACGGGAGAGCACTGACAGGTGGCCTGCCGGAAGCTTCGCGCGCAGGGGCAATCGCAGATCGAAACCGCGTGGGAAGTCCCGTATCACCACGGGCTCAGAGGTTGCTGATCCACGGCGTCGCTCTTTTGAGGCCGAGCTGGCGGTCAGGGGCTACACGCGGCAGGCTCGCGCGAGGTGAGTCTTCGAGAGGCTCCCCGGCGCTCTGCCCAGGGGCTGCCGTCGCGCGCCCGCCAGGCCGTGCCACTTGTTCGTGGCATCTGGAGAAGCCTTGCCCCTACCCTCAGGTCGGGCATGTCCCCCTACAGGGGGAGCTTGGACGACAAATTAATTAAACATAATCAAAAAATACACCCAAATAGCCAAACAAATGCTCAAACATAGTCCCCAGACTATTGTTTGACTATTTTCGAAGATTCCACCTGTAGAGGGACAGGCCCGACTTAACCCTACCCCCGGGAGACTAAATTGGGACTTCTGCACTGTACGTGCAGTGTTGAACCACGGTCCCTGAAGTGGACGAGGCCCTGATTGTCTCAGCTCGAGGCAAGCCGTTCGCGAAATCAGAGTGGAATGGCCCTGGATCGTCAACCATGTTCACTCATCGTGGAAGGCACGCGCTCGCTGCTGCCACGTTGTCTCATGGGTGTTCACTGCGTAGGCCTGGGCGGCCTCCTGGACAGCAGGGGCTGCCGCCAGCTCCCTGGAGCGCCCGTCGACGTCAAAGCATCAGCATCCACAGGAGCAGGGCCCAGCTCTAGAAGAAAGGAAAACGCCATAAACAGAAACTGTTGGCGCTCCGCGCGGATTCCCTGGATCTGCGCCAGACCCCCCTCCCTGGGGCGCGAAGGGCGCCAGGGGCGGCGCCGGGGGCGCCGCCTGGGGGGGCCCAGCGCGGATCCAAGAAATCCGCGCGGAGCGCCAAAAGTTTATGCGCATGCCGTTTTGTTCTGCTTCGAGCTCTGCGATGCTGTGCTCCCCTGGCCTGGTCCACGAGAGCCAGCAGTGGGGGAGCTTGCCTGCAAGCGCCGACCCGACCGTGCTGCGGGATGGGTGCCGGCCGCTTGCCCGGTCCGCTGCGACCCCGTCTGCGGGGCGGTCGGCTTGTGCACTCCTCCTCCTCCTCCTCCTCCCTCCCTCCTCCTCCTCCTCCTCCTCCCCTTCCTCCTCCTCCCCTCCTCCTCCTCCTCTCCCCTCCTCCTCCTCCTCCTCCTCCTCCACCTCCTCCTCCTCCTCCTCCTCCACCTCCTCCTCCTCCTCCTCCTCCTCTTCGTCCTCCTCCTCCTCCTCCTCCGCCAGGCCAGCTAGGCCGTGGCGCCAGCCAGGGGCACCCAGATCCTGACCCGACTCCTCCTTGCCTTCTCAACGGTGTTGGCGACATAGCTGCCTTGGACCCCCACGACCGCAGCCGCAGCCTGCCGCGCCACCATCGTGTCCTTGTCCGGCTTGCCCTTCGCTGTTGCGCTCGCTGAGACTGGACGCACTACGACGGCGCTGGGGTATTGTCCATGCTGACACCTAGGCCCGCCGCATGGAACCTTGTGCACTTGCGAGACTATGTCCCCGAGGCTCTGGACCACATCGGACGAGTCATCTGGCACGATGGTATGTTACCTATGTGTCCTCAACGATTCACCGTTTCGGGCTGGCGGTGGGGGCACGACGCTCGGTCGGTCCTTACCTTGGCCTCTGTTCCACGGCTGGTGCCAGCCGCACCCGCTCAAGTCCTGCACCGCGTGGCAATCTGCGAACACGCGGCCACGGGGATTGCTGCCTCTGAGATGACCGTCGCGCCTGAGGTCTCCCGGGGCCTCTCTCCCCTGGCGTTCCCCCACCCGGCCGTGTCCCATCGAGGAAGAGGCGGGCGGCAAGGAAAGAAATGTGCATGTCCTCGCTCTGGCGGCGCCGTCCTCGAAGAAGCCCACAGCCTCAGACCCCTCCTGGACTAAATCTTGGATG